ATCCATTTGTTCCTAATCAACCTGACCATCTAACTCCCTCTTCTCCCTGCTCTTCACACTCCCACAGCTTTTACTGAAGTGTGTAGAAGAAATCCGAAAATAAAAACCTTTCCAGGAATGGGCAGGCACCTCACTTTCTACCAGCTTCATTGTTTCTTATATTACATTTCTGCGTTGATTACTTACATCATACTGCATTTTTTATACTAGGCGGATATATCACTACATTGAATCATGTCCTCGAAGCATATATTACATTTCTGCGTTGATTACTTATATCATACTGCATTTCTTATACTAGGCGGATATATCACTGCCTTGAATCATGTCAATCTTCAAGATCTTTCAGTTCATCCTGCCCTCCAAGCGCTGCTGCAGGTTCCGCTGGTGGGAGGAAGGCGGCTGCCCTGCGTGGTGGCACTCGCTGCAGTCCCGTCGGAGCGGGCTCGGCTCCAAAGCAAATCACCAGCCGACGTTCCTGCAAGGGAAATGCTGGACCAGAAACGCAGGTTTGCGGCAAGCGTTTATGCCAACAAGCCACGACACGTGGCCAGCATTTTGCATTTGCATCCTTACTAATGAGATCTGGCAGATCTGATTCCTACAAGCCCTGTTCCTCTGAGGAGCTGATACACCATATTGGAGGCACACGTTTTAAATCACAGAAAACGATGACAGTTTTCATCAGCAATGAAAGAGAGGCTGACTCTGCAGTGGGTTCTTACTTGCTGCGCAGTTTAACATTTTTGGGGACTTACATCACTTAAAGAAAGACGTGAGGTCTGAGCAATTTCAGCCCTTTCAAGCAGTGGGCCAAATTCCCACCAGTGTGAAGGGCCGTGTAGCCCCCGAAATGTGCAGAGCTCTGCCAGGTCAGCCAGAACTCGGCTTTGCCCGTCAGCTCAGTGGGCAGCGATTGCACTTGGCATGTGGCTCAGAACAAGTGCTTGTTTTTAAAGCAAAACAGTGCAGCCTTTCAGTGCGACCACAGGCCATAGTTGCAATTGCAATAACTTTTATTAACTGTCCTTAACTCAGACTCCTACATATCAGGGTAAAGGGAGAGTAAGAAGGAAAAAACACGTAGTCTTCCCTCTTTGGCACTCTAATGGTGGATCTTACTGCTTGAGACAAGAAGTGGCGGTCTGTAGGTAGGCAGGTCTGTAGGTAGCTTTGCTTCTCATTAGTGCCTGTAATTGAAATATGTGCTTAATGTACTTATATATATATACACAGTGCGATATATTTCCTCAGCTCTAACTCATCATTACCAACTGGGGTCAGATCACCAGCTTCTCAGACTTCAAGAGGACTGTGTGAACCTCAACTTGAAGTTGCTAAAGCCATTTCCTTTCAGCAGTATTCTGAAGTATTTGCTTAAAAGTCACACTTTAGGTTTTCTACAAAAAGAGCATAACCTATGGAAGTGTTTTCAATACGGAATACAATGTGTTTAAAAGTACACCCATCCTTGGGCAGAGGGAACATGCATCTCGCAGTGGGAATAGCTATCTAATGCTACTGGTTTTGATGCCAGTACTAATGTAAAGCACGAGTAATTGTGCAGCTTAATGTTCAGTACTAAACTGTAAATGAAAGGTCAGTCCAACGTGTTAACTGTCATGTCCTCGGGTGAGGCAGGCGGCAGCAGCAGGACTCTGCTCTTGGCTCTGGCTCTCGGTAGCAGCTGCTCCCATCGCACCTGCCCCTCTCTGCCCAGCCCTTCTCCAGCTTTGCCTTCGTCTATTCCCGTTACCCATTTCCACGTCTTCATTCCTTTTGCATGTTTTTTTGAGATGCAGACACTGCCCGTGGCCGCTCAGCAGATACCCAACGTTCGGCAGTACACAGGCACCTCATAGCCCGACCAGTTATTAAAACAACTCTCATGGAATGGGGTTCCCTTGAGCTAAGTGTTCTTCATATTCACAGGGACTACGTATATCTAAATCGCTACTTTTTGTATTGCAGCTGAATTTGTCTGATTCTTCTGCAGCTCAAATATTCCTATTGCATATTCAAAGGTGCAAGTTTTCAGGAGCTGCTAATTATGTCAGAGCCACTGCTGATACCATCTCACTGCTTCTCTTCTTACCCTTTCTAGACGGGTTATGCCAGCTCAGCGGTCAAAATTATTCTGAGATTAATGATAAAGGCAGTTTGCTGTATTTTAAAGATCAATATAATTTTCCTTTTTTTTTTTAAAAAAAGAAACCTATCAAACAAGGTTGTATTTGTATTTAATGCACATTTTGCTTTTAACAGCAACTTGCGAGTTTAAACAGCACAGACCTTACAATGCTTAGTTAGTGAAGAAGCTATAGTGCTTATAAAGTTGTATCTAAAATATACCTTATTCATTCTCTATTGAACAATATTTTGAAGACAGTCTAATATTATAATTACACACTTTACAGCAGCAGGATGTTCACACCACTATAGTTAAGGCTGTGTCAGCATTCTCAGCACGAACCTTTTTCAGCGTTTGAACATACCAGCCATAAAAATACAATGCAGTTTGAAAAAATATGGCATCCAGCATCTCAGTCTTGTATCAACTTTAGTTAAGTAAGAATAAAATAAAAATGTATATAATAAAGGAGTCCACCCAAATGTATTCTGGATGATTGCTGCCTTTGCACAACCTGCTCAAAATTTCCAAAATGAAATTTAAAGGACATCACTTGACAGCACAGTCCAATCAGGTTTGCATGAATGTGAGTGCATGAGCGTTGGCAAGCGGTGCCACGAATGCAGCGCCCGCTTCCCACGCGCTGCCCCTTTGCACACACGTCAGCTTGGCTCTGCGTGGGTGTTCAGAGGGGCAGGTTAAGAGGCCTGCGCACAACGACACCCTCCCGTCTCCAGGCGCAGACACTCACTGCTCACGGCGGCAGCGCAGGCTGCCCAAGCGCTCAGCTGTGGAGCGAGACATGGACACCGGGGTGTTTTATGCAACTCATGCCTTGATAATCCAGGAGGGCTTCGTCAGGCTGCAGAACGCGCTGAGTCCAGTCACCGGAGGAGAGCGAGCAGCTGAGGCCAAATACTGCGAGGAAATGGGCCCAACGGCTTCTCCAGAGCCAGGCCACAATCCGTGTGTGGAATCTCACCCTAAGCTCATGCCCTCATGGCTGGCTGGTTTCATTAATAAAACCCTTTATTGCCATAGGGTTTGCTTGGAAAAACAAACAAGCAAAAAGCCCCTCAAGGTTGGAATCTACTTAAACATGACCTGCCTCAGTTTAAGGTAAAGCGCATCTCTAAATGCTTTCTTGAGGCAATAATGCTAAACGAAAATGTGCTTAAGGTGCTGAACTGTCACGGAACTGTAACAAGCTAGTGAAAATTTGTGGAGCTGCAGAATCAGGTTCTTTATCCATCATATGCTTATTTATTACCTTTGACCTTCTCCAGCCAGAAGATTTGTGACTACCTTTTTTGCTACATGCTTTTGGAAGCACTCCATCGCATACTTCTCAGACTTAGAGATAAGCATAGAACACTGAAAAAGAGTTGCCTGTTTCAAGCTTCGTGTCCAATACATACACACATTTATTAATAAAAATGTATCTAAACAGCTATTTGTTCTTTGGACCACCTCCAGTCTCCCTAGGTGACTGTAACGTGTCTTATAAACCTTTCATGGAAGATTTAAAAAAAATAATAACTCAAGACAAAATAATACATTAAAACATCATCAATACAGAGACAGAAGAGAGAAAATGGAGACAATTCCACTCCAAATTCGCTGCTGATACAGGTCTGCAGAGTCTTCTTCAAAGCGGCCTTTTGCCTTCTTGCACAAGGTCTTTTCTCTTATTGATCTTAAAAGGGAGCTTCAAAGCCAACAGTGGAAATTGCATGTACCTCCCCACGGATGGGTCAAACTCTATAATCCCTGTTCTTAGGAAGGGAACTGATTAGCACACAGCCTATTCCAGCTGTCTTTCCAGACTTCCTGTGCACAGGCACGTGGAGAGCGGGGATAACAGTATTTATCCACCACAGAGTTGCTGTGAGAAATGCACTGAAGAGTGCCTGGACCATGGCCACAGCAACAAGAGCTACACCGGTACCCAAAATACAGCCTCGACCCCTGCTGCCAAGCACTGTGAACAGGACTATCAAAATCAACTTTGGTGAAGGGAAGTTTTATGACAGTAAATGCTAGTCACTGTTTAGTTTTGCATAATACCAACTGCCAAGGTTCTTTTTTCCGTTTAAAGAAGGGGCCAACACAAGTTGGCGTAAGGGACTGTAGAAGAACGACCCGATTTGCATCCTGTTGCTCAACACAGGAAGCAGCTGCAGAACCTGTCCCCACCTGCTGATGGTCCACATAAATCAACACCCAAGCTGTGTATGCTGCGTGCTGGGGAAAAGAACCAGCAAACAGCAAGGTTTCCATTCTGGATTCAGTGATATGCCATAGTGGGCACAGAAATGCTGTGGTACTGTCTGTCCCATACAATCCATACCAACTTTCCTCACCTATGACGTGACCAGGAAGGATGATACAGCAAATTAGTAGGCAGAAGTCGGTTACTTATTGCATCAAGGCTCACTGTAATCCATGAATTTAATAAGGATATTACTATCATCAAGTAAAGATCTTCATCCCTCAGTCTGAATTCCCTCTCTTTCACTGAATTAAAGAACAAATTCTTCAAAATTTTCAAGATAAAGTGAAGCAGAAGTTTCAGCTACAGAAATGTAGTGCAAAGGTCAGTTTGGCACTGCAACATTATGGACAGAGAAGAATTTATGGTAAACTCAGTTTAGCTTTGGAAAAAATATCCTATAATCGAACCAATATTGTCAAATGTATTGCATACTAGTGTAACTTCACAGTAATCAAAAATCAGACACCAAGGTTTCTATAGAAGCAGCAATCACAGATTGCAGTAAAGTATACTATCCAAGGAGAAAAAAT